ATTTAGACAAACATGGATCCAAAAAATGAAAAATTGTAGAAAAGCAAAATTTTGTCCTCGGTGGGATCCGAACCATCGACCTATTTTTTACGTTTTTTTTTATTCGTAGAAGCGCGCAGCGAAAATGAACCTCAGTTTTCTGGTCCTCGTATGTGCCCCTACAATATGCACAAGACCATTTTGAAAAAGCTCACCACGCCCTGAACGACCTCCCTTGTGAGATTTCGATATTGTTACCACCGAAATTCTTTCAGCCGCTTAGCTGTCCTATTTCCAACAAATGGGTGTTATTCATAAATATGATAAGCACCAGACATTGGCAAAGGTTTATCAAAAAGGAGAAATATGATGAATTCCAAGACATGGAAATTAGGCCCAGAAATCCTAGTCAGTACCCTAGGTTTGACCATGCGCGCAATAGTGCGCGTCAGCCAAACTGGTGTACTCACAATCCATTCAGCACCGCAGCCGCTTCATACCAATCTCTTCGCTTCATATTTTAAATAGCAAATGAAGCAAAACGAGCATCTGGTAGGGTCGTCCATTTGTGGGCGGGCGGGCGTGGTAGGCGTTTGGGTCGGAAAGTTGTAGCTTGATAGGACCCTTATAAGGGTACCTCCGTGGGAAAAACCGCTACGCAGGGCCTGCTCGGAAATCCGCCCTGCCAGGCATATAAATCCTACTCGTCTTTGGGGATTTATCGTGCCAACTGCCTTTAACTTGGGTCACAATCCCAAGCCACTGAACTTCCGTTACGACGACGGCACAGTACGACAGCGAAGGACGGTAAACACCGTCTCCAAATAGCATAGCTTCGCGTTTATACAAGTACTTTTTCCATGAATCATCATCTTTGCTGTATCCCTAAAAAGATCATTCTCCTGGGTGTCTTTCTGAGACTTTTGAGTTTATTAGTTTAACAAATATTGTTTCCACTCGACATAGAAACGAAACACGCTCAAGGGAATGTTCTTTTATTAGCCCTTTTTATAAACTAAGATTTCGATTTGAAGGTTGGATTCTTTGACATTATCCAGCTCTTTCCCTACCCCAACTCTCGCCACTTTTGCTTACCCGTAGAAGGTTCTAGATGAAAAATCGTAATGTCATCTAAACAATTACCGTATCACAAAGCGGATAGGATAAACAAACTTAACTGCTTTTAATTAATCGGAAGAGGCTACGAACAACATGTGGGAGGGAACACGTTCATTAGAGAGCGTGAGCGCATTTGACCGAAATGTGCACCCCCACATAGGAGGCTGTGGAGCCCATTGGAATCAGGCGCCTGCCATTGCCGGATCTGGCGATAAGGGTCATGAATTCTCTAGCACTGAACCGTCCCCTTGGTCAACCCTCCTCTAATCGAATTTGGAAGGTTTGAGTATCAGTACCAGTAAGCCACTCATTTATATATGAAATGCATAGTTAGCCTTTTGTGGGATTATGGGTGACTACGTCATTTTCACCCGGACAGAGCTCAGCCTCTGATAAATCCCCAATAACATGAAGAGTAAAACGTTTTGCATGGAATTATTCAGCTCGAGCCTCAAAGTTGACGTCAATGCGCTAATCGGAATGGTGACTCACACGGCACAACGCTTCGGTTGCGATTAGCATGCTGGGCACCAATGGTTGCATGCTTGTCCGGATTACGGTAATCACGAATGGTATCCCACTGGGATTCGATCTTCGTTGGATCCGCCAAACATTCTTGGAGGAAGTTCTGCAATTACGACCATTATCACGATGACGGTGCTGTAATACAAGGCCCGAAGTGCTGGACATCAACAGTAGAGCCCACCAGAATCACATGACCAGTTGAGATATCGATACTTGACTGAGCCACAGCTTCTTCGCACCAACTGGACGTCGAAGAGCTTTTACTGCCGCGTCCTGACCCTGAGTCCTGGGTCATTCGCTGACGGCAGAGATCCTGAAATCAGCAGTATATAGTTGGATGCGCACATTCTGAAATGTTCTCTTTCCTCGATTAAGTTGGAAAAAGAGTAAAAAGCAACAAGCATTGAGGAGCTTTTGGATGCGCCATGCACTTCACTTTTTTCAGAATGCGAGTTAAGCTGAGTTTTCCGAGTTGTGGCGTAATTTGGAAGCGTTTTTCTTACACACCACCGCTCAAGTAGGTAAAGTTCAGGGTTCTGATCCCGTGCACCTGGGATCAAAAAACCCCTACAAAGGTAACAAATTGTTTGGCTTGCCCAGGAATAGTGCAAGCTATAGTCTTCCTAAGCATACACCCGTAGCTGCTTTTACACCCATAGCGTTCACACGCAGTGACACTAACGGTTCAACCGAAAAGGAACGCACAGTTTCTGGACGGTTTCTAAAGTTTGCACCCTACAAAGTGTTGGTCGAGTGATAGGTGATGAACAATCTAGTTAGCTAGCTGAATATATTCCAGCGCTTGACTTCATGCGAAATCAACAAGGTCTTGTTGCGAATGCCGCTCACGTAGCTCCTCACAAAACCAATCTCGTTTCACCAAATTGAACGTCTCGACTAACACCTTATAAAACAGTATCAGCTAATAAATATCACTCTCTTGAAGTAAGACATAGAGTTGACAATTATGGATTTTTGCCATGCTACACTACACCGCGCTGCGAATCTCCCTTGACAAACATCGAAATATTCTCTATTGCTGGAAAGACAAACCTGATACGTCATATTGCTCTTTCCTTCTACATCAAGCCCGCCGCTCATGAGGTTGCTGGCGTAAAAGCGACGATGCTTCACCATATGCACCTAAACGGAGTAATCTTCCTCAAGATCTTCTTTTACTGGGTTCTTTATCTTTTCTAGGAACCCAGTAGGAGAACTCGTCCAAAAATGCACTCACTGCGAGGACTGAGACGAGTGCTGTGATGGTGAATGCACAGATGAACAACACTGGCATGAACATCCAGTCGCGATCCGATGATTCGACAGGAACGGAATCCTAAATGACGTTATTTCACCGTAATTTGAGCGCTTTTTGCTCTGGTGGAGGAATTCAAAGTGCTTCTTGCGCAAAACTGGAACTCTGTGGTGTGAAACTTTCCTTTTTACTTCAAGGAATTCGCTAACACACCCTTGAGCTACATCGCACACTTCCTTCGCGTAGCACCAGTTTTGCTCGAAGAGCCTCTGAGGCCCTACCAAGGCGAACGCCGGAATGGCTTAATTTATTCACGCTAGTAGATGTGCTAGGACAAAGGAAGAAGATTGGAACGATGCTCCTTACCTCTCCAATGCCGATGCCAGTCTCGTCCACCTGAGCACCGGAGAATCTCGCGATATCTTTCCGCCGTTTGTCTGGAATTATAGGTCATGTTTCTAGGCTACAAACTTTTTGAACTCATCGTGGTTACTTCAGAACGTTTGACGACTTCAGCGCGAAACAGATGGAAAACTCACAAACAGCTTGCGCGACGCCTTCCACAGTCTCGATACGTTTTTCATTCTTCGGCTTTGTGCTTTCAAGGCGACTGATACGCATCGACAGTTGGTTTTTGTCGAATCTGCAAAGCAAACCGGAGTATGATTGTTGATAAGCCAGAGGAAGTAGCCTATATGGTTACTACAAAATTACTACTTTTACTTCTCTCAAGGTAAAGTTCGCGCGGTCGAGGGGAAGAATGGTCTCGAGGTACAAGTGGACTGAACGGTAGCAAACTTCGGGCTCAGACTGAACGTCAAGAAAACCGAGTACCTGACGACTGACCCGGACGAGTCTGGTTCCCTTAGGTCAGCGGCAGTGTGCTCACGCGAACGACAACGTTCAAATACCTCGGATCAACAATTACGTCTGACGGTAGTCTCTACTCAGAAGTGAGCGCGCGTGTGAGTGCAGCCTGGTCTAAGTGGCTGGCGTTCTCTGCGACAAGACGATACCAGATCGCCTCAAATCGAAGATCTATAGGACCGTCGTTCGACCAGTCGCGATATACGGTGCTGAATGTTGGCCTACGACCAGAGAAGTTGAAGCGCGCCTCGGAGTCATGGAGATGAAAATGTTGCGATGGACAGCCGGTGTCACGCGTATGGATCGCATACGCAATGACGACATAAGGAAGAAATTCGGTGTAGCTCCTGTGGCCGAGAAAATGCGCGAAGCTCGCCTTCGATGGTATGGTCATGTTCTTCGCGCGAGTTGTGACACCGTCCGTAGGACTGGTCTTGAGCTCGAAAGCGGCCTAAAGGACGCCCCAAGCAGCGCGTCGACACGCTGCATGCGGACTTAAAGACAGTTGGTGCTCATCCCGATCAAGCATTCGATGGGGA